GATCTCTGGAGGTCCCTTCCAACCCCTACAATTCTGTGATTCTGTGAATTAAGTACTCAAAAAATAAGTAATGAAAGGGAACTAAATAACATATCTTTATATACCAAAGGAACTTGGAAAATAGATATCTTTATTTAACAGCATAAATCTTTTAAAATGTGTTTAGTAAACAAAAAGAATTTGAACGTAGGAAAACTGTCGAAACTATGTTGAAAAAACTTAACAGCTTCAAACTAGCACAGTTATCCAACTGTTTTTGATTTCTTTTTAAACACAAATGTAATTGTTTAGATTTTTAGTTTTTCTTTCACTTGTTTCACCTAATGATGACAATTCAATTTAAAATGTCATCCAGACAAGTCAGGGTTTGGAAAATTTGTTAGCTCTGACAAATTTTGTGTATGGAATGTTGCATGAATCTTTTCATGTTAGTAGATTTTAGATTGGATCCAATGCCCTTGTACAATGGTAACATCTAATTGCTCTACAGTGATTTAAATATTTATACTGCTCGTAAGCTCTTTGTTGAGTGGTGAATCACGTTCTACATGTTTTAAGCTTAACTGAAGTCAATTGTATGAACAGTAGGAATAAAATTAAGTATATGAACATCTGATTTTGACCTTTGGGCATGAATGTAGCTGTGATTATGGCTCTAGCGTACCATCAGGTGATGTTTCAGTATCTCATCAATTAAGATATGGTTGGGGAATGGTCAAAATTTGTTTCACTTCAGTTTTTCTTCCACTTATATATTTTGTCTACCAATTATGAAGGGCAAGAATGGGCAGTCAATGTATTTGCAGTTAACCCTGAAATTTCTAGTGCGGTTTGCTCTGGTGTTTAGGTAGACACTAAAACAAAGTGATTACTTTTAGCTTGGGTCTCTGTTATGCATCTTTCTCAGACAGGTCCTTAAGCTTACAAAACATAACATACTTCCTATACTTGGCTATTAGAAGTGTATTCATTTTAATATTTTTTTTTCCTGTAAAACCAGAGCGCGATGCCTTTGACACACTCTTTGATCATGCGCCGGACAAACTCAGCGTCGTCAAAAAGGTAAAAAAGAAAAAGAAATTCAGATTTTATTTTCTTCATTAGTTTCTTCTTACGTTTTTGGAAAAGGTATCCAGAGAAATCTGAAAGTGGAAGAAAAGGATTTTAAAGTAATAAAAAGGATGTTTATTCCCAAAAGATCTCTGCTTCAGAGACAGGTGGTACCTTGATTGATCAGCTTCAGTAAGGTTCTTGTCTAATTACTGCTGTTTATTGTCCCAGGCTTTTCTGTGTAGTGCTGATAGAGGCATTGACAGTTTGCAGCCATATATACGTTGTTTTTCGGCTGCCCCTAAACAGCCAAAGATCAGTTCTTCTTGTAATTGTCTTACTGTGTTAGCAGCTACTTCTTTATCTGATTCAAAGTCATGCAGGTTAGAAAAAGCCATTTGCAAAGTATTTGCAGTTACCTAGATAATTCTGTCTGGACAGTTATATATGCTTTTACACCCCAAGTGCTGTCCTCCAGCAAGAAGGGGATGAACTGAAGGATAAGAGCATCAGGTGGTGGCAAAAGTCTCCAAGAAGTGTCTTGTTGAAGCTAATAGAGTTAAGTTAGCTCTACCTGTGCTACAGAAGTGTTGCCTTCAGACTGTGTGTCTGTCCCTTTTGAAAGTGTTCTAAGCAGGCTATTGGATTTCTGCTTTGATATTTTAACTGGCTAAGCAGGATTTTCCATGTGTGAATAAAAATGCACAGTACAGATTTTGGTTAAATCATGACTGCTGTTTAAAGCGCACATCGCTCCAGAAACAGAGGTGGGCACAGAGTTGTGTGCTGTTGGTACCGTCTGTTGGGAGTCTTAGCTGAGTGTTGCTGATGCTTTGCACTCAGTGGAGATTCTCTAACAAACGAAAAAGACTGGTGGACAGTAAATGCACCTACTGCTGACCTCATCTTCACAAAGAAACTGCAGAAGAACCGATGCCATCATCACAGCTTTTTCCCACTACACTGGATTATGCTTTATGTACTGGGATAGATAACAAGTGTGTAATAGCACCACCTGGTGACTCCTGGTTTATGTTGCAACAAAAGTGATTATACTACTCAGTTGTTTTCATTTTTATGTACATATGTATTTAAAAGCAAATAGCACACAGTTGTGTTTATTAAGCTTAAAAATGTCTATATTAACCCTTTAACATAGGCATCACCTATAGTTCTAACATTGCTGGTTCTGGTGTTTTATAGTCTCTGATCACGTTTGTGAACAAACACTTGAATAAACTGAATTTGGAAGTAACGGAGTTAGAAACTCAGGTAAGATTTTTTTTTTTTTACGTAGTCTAACTATGTAAATGATAAATGTAGACCCTTATTCCATTAAACTATGTTATGGAACTGCTTCTCTTTGAGCATGGATATTCACTATGTCCATTTTAATGACTTTAGAATACCCTGGATTTCAGGGCAACTTGTCTCCTGGATCAAAGTGTTATGCTGTAAAGCTGTTGCTATAGTTATGGATGGATGGCGGATTGTGTCTTCCTAGCAGTGAGGGTTCCTAATGAGCTGCTGGGAGCTCTTAATAGCTGGCTGCCTGGGGCTCTCAGGAGGAGTCTGGCCTGCAGCATGCAGTTCATCACAGCGATATCAGTGCTAGCTTTGATCACATCAAAGAGGGACTGGAAACAATTTTGCTATTGCCACAAAGGCCTTTGTGTCCTCTTTATCCTGTGAGAGCTTCTCAGCAGTGTGGATTAGCAACTCTGAGCTCATGTACTGCCGTGGCTTGACTGCTGTTGGTATCCAGGTTAATTTGTTTAAAGCTCACTGAGGTAACTGTCTACCACCATAGTCAGCTCTGCAGGACCCCCCCCCCACCTCTAGAACTGAACTGGGTACAGAATACACTTGGAAACATTAAGTCAGTGTGAATTGAAGTGTCAATGGGTAGTTCTAACTCTGGAGGTCAAATTAAGTGATTTTCAGGTTGACTTTTTGGCTGAGTTTTATAAGCAGAAATAAGTACTCTTTGTAGAGTTCATCAAACTGTGGAGAGGTTACCTTATTGTACTTGCAAAAAAATAAAACAATTAAAAAAAAATCACGACATCTAGAGAATTATTCCTGGAGTACTGGTAGCTGATTGAATGACTTGGTTTAGTACCAGTCATTTGCTGATATTTTATATCTTTGCGGAAATAAATGGGTGACTTGATCTGCTCTGTCACTAGAAATTGTTCCTTAATGTCTTGGAAGTATCCAGCAACTTACTTTTGAAAAGGTTAGAAGATGTCACATATGCTGTATCAGGATCACAAGTGAGAGTTCTGTTTGAAATATATAGCATCTGCCCCCCTCCACCAGCCAGTAAATAGTCTTCCTTTCCGGTAGGAATACAGAACAGTACTGCTGAGAGTATTTATAGTAGTATTTATGGATACTGTGAAGAGTCTATTTTGAGCTGGAGCAAATTCTTTATGAAGTTAAGGTTCCTACCTGTGACAGGTTTTTTTAATTTAAAGTTCTGATTAGAGGCAGAGTGTTGAATATACATGACTTGAGGGGAGGGACTGCAGTTGAAATTATTATGTACTGTAGAAATAGGATTGTGACTATACAGTGTGAAATCATGTTTTCCAGGAGGTTGTTTTGTTTGTTTGTTTGTTTGTTTTTTAACTTCTAATAAGAAAGCTCTGTTAAACACAGTAGTAAAGTTGTCAAGGTTCTTCAAGAAAATCAAAGGAGCAAAAGATCAATTTTAAAATGAGCTTTTAAATAAAGTAATCACAACCAAGAACAAGCTTACGTACTTCTATCTCATCCCGAGGTATTCAGTAGCCTAATAAATGAGGATGTTGAGTTTGGCCCCTGCTCAGTCAAACTCAATATTCAGCACCCCTAAGGAGTGGCAGTTGTATGTAACTCCCAGGTAAGTTGTTCCTAATTTCTACTGCCTGGAACTATTTACAGGTTATAAGTGATTTAAACATTACTTGACAGATGCTCTTGAATGGGTTGGTGTTATAGCTGATGGGCTTGTTTTATTCAGGAAATGAAAGTAGATGAAATAATGCTACCATATGTAGGGATAAAGCCTTGTATCATGTATGTACATAGCAACACACTTCTAAGGAAAGACTGATTGAGTTTGCTCAGCTGTGCTGATGATTCCAGTGGTATAGGTGAATCCAGAGAGCAGATGCAACAAAGCCCTAGGTGCTAATTGCACTTGCCATCAACTCCTTGCTGTGCATGAAAGGAAAAGTCGGTGACTCCCAAACTGTCTTAAGCCTCTGTGCTAGCAAACAGCAGTGGCAGAAATTAACGTACATCATTTGGACCAAGCATTAATTGTTCCACTTGTTTGTGAGTGCTGAGTGCTTATTTGAAAACAGATGCTTTCACTTAAAAATGTCACCAATATTTCTGTTTAGTTTGCAGATGGTGTTTATTTGGTTTTGCTCATGGGTCTCCTTGAGGACTATTTTGTTCCACTTCACAACTTCTACTTAACGCCTGAAAGTTTTGATCAAAAGGTGGGTAGAAATTCCAGATTGTATTCTGTTTGCTTTGTTACCACATGATATTTTCCAGTCATTGTGTTCTCTCTCTTTGTGCCCAGTAAATACACTCTTATCTTCAGGAGCTGTGGCAAAGGTATACCGGCTGTGGCACTTGATAGTTAATATGATCAAAAGTTGCTTGTGAAATTAACAGGTCAGTTCCCCATAGTTGAGCAAGAAAGCATCATTTGCCACATAAAACTCATGAATATTTAGAAGAGATAATTGATAATATGATCAACAAGTCTTTGTGCTGTGTAATACTTTGCATAATTAAAGAGATTTATTAATTTGCTGTACAGCTTGAAGTCTTTTTGTGCTCAAAGATTCTTGATTGTGTTAAATAGTAGAGCTGATGCCTGGCATCATCTAGCATTTTCTATGTAAATAGGCAAAAAAGGCAAAAATTGAGAGACAGGAAGCTCTACTTCATCTGCATCCCTATACAGTAGGATTGACATAGAGTTTCTTCCCAGAGTAAGTCAGCCCTAAAAAACAACCCCTCATCTCATTAGTGTCAGTTGCCTAATGCCTACTGATCCTTTTTCTGTAGTTTATGTAATGGTTCTACAAACGAAATATCATTAATTGATATGTACTTAATACGCTTGATATAGTGTAGTAGAAGAGGTGGTACCCAGGCCATGATCTTTGGTTGACATGGGGTTAAAAACTGTGTGTTGAGAGCTCACTGATAAAGAGTTTTGTAGCTGTATAAAGCCAAGATGCCCTGATCCTGCCAGGGAAGGATCATGCAAAAAGTCACCAATCAATTTCTGAGGACAGATGTGCGTTTTCATGTCCAGCTCCTGATAGGGCATTACCAATACTGCTGACTTAAACTTTTGAGAGAATTGGTCGTTTCCTTCTATCAAGTAAGGATTGACAGAATGAGTATAATGGAAGAAGAGTGGATTATTTGAAGTCTTAGATTGTTTTAATCAGGACTGGAAGGGAACAAAATAGCTGTCTTGGTTATTTAGCCCCATTGTCCTGTATAATTCCTAGTGTTAGTGATGAAAAGAGTACTTAACATAGCAAGCATACTTTGCTATCATAGCCAAAAGTTTGCCTTTTTCTACAGTTGTCCTTGAACTTGTGCACATATCTAGATACATTCATTGCCTACTCTGAACCTGGTTGTGCTGGAGTAATTCATTTGTCCCCTGCTCTTCATTCTGCCAGGTTCTTTAGTGGGGACAGTACTTGTCTAATGTAGGCTGAACTGGAGCAAGAGGTGATTAGGTCAGGAAACACTGCAAAAACATAGAGGATTGAAACAGCTTTGTAAGATGAAGGCTTATTTATATTTTGTATGACTTCAGTGCACACTTTAGCAACAGTAAGGCTCCCTGAGAGCGAGCACTTACCACTGATAGAATAACCCAGCTTTGCCTGAGTGGATCATCTCAATGTTGCAGGAATAATTGGAAGTGTACCAGGTGAGCATTGTTACAGACTGAACCTAATGTGCTGAGCATGCCAGTTCTATAAGTTACATAGGGCTTATTGACAGCCTTTGCAGGTGACTAGTTGTTTGGGAGCTTAAAGGGGTTCCCTGAAGGAAGGAAACCAGGCTCTGGTGAGAGAGCTTGTTTAGGTGTTGAGTTTCTAGATAGGAAGGGAATTAAATAATTCTGAATGTTCTATAATGTACAGGAACTCGATAGAGCAGTGGAAAAATGTCATTATATTACCTTCTAAACAATTTTGTTTTCATATCTGTCTCTTGCTTTTTTTTTTTTTTTATTACAATAGCTTGAGTTTTCCCCCTTTCTAGAAATGCTGAGTCATAGTCAGTGCTTGTTCAGTCAAGATTTTGTTAATGGTTTAATCCATTAATCCAAATGTTCTGAAGTAACATTTTATTTCTGTGTGGAGGCTTTGCTTTGAGGAAAGAGGATTTGTAACTCAAAGTGAAGAGGTAAACTGTCTTTTGGGAAGGGAAAAAAATATTTTCATTTGGAAAATGATTGGCTTTGTCACAATGAATTGGAGCAGGTAAAAAGATTAGTAAAGTCCTGAGCGATAAAAGCCAGTGGAAAGGGCCTTTCATCCTTGTTGCAGGGGAGTTTTGTATGCAGAACTCCCTGATTTCCAAGATGAGTAGCTTTAATTAAATCTCTCCTTTTTGCTGTGCATCTCCAAAACTGTCACTTGCAGGGATAGAACTGCACAGAATTCATAATCCAAATTACTTTGTTTATGGCAGAGAAAGCTGCCATACAGATCTCTTTAAACCACAATGTTAACTTCTCAATGAGTATCTCCTTTTAATCTATCCTCTTTCTTGTATTTTTACTTCTTGTCTGCTTTCTTTTCTCTGATTTTACGTTCATGTGTGGTCCTTGGAGGTTTTCTCAAAGAGCTGTCTTCCTTTCTGCACAGCTGTGCCTAGCTTATTTTGCAACACTGGTCTGCACAGGAACTGTCACCACAAAGTATTTCATTTACCTTTATCTGAGAAATCTGATCTGAATTTTATCACTTTCTAAGTAGAGGAAAGTAAAGAACTAAGATGCCTTGTTCTTTGATGATGTGATGCTAGTGTTGCTTGGAGTACAGCTGACAATAATGCAGAAAAGTCTAATGTTAATCAGAAATATTCCATTTAGTGTCCTTATTTCTCACACACCTGTGTGTATTTTGTCATCTCTAGTTATGTCACTTCTGTTACATTCTATTTGCCAGGATGGCAACTCATCTTTTGCGTTGTACTTGGAAATACTGAGCTTGGGTATGAGCAGGAGGAGCTCCACAAAACACAGCTTTGTTCCAGTTGTTACTGAGAGCTCCCTGGCCTCTGCTCTAAAGACTGAGATCGGAGCTTAATGGACTTTCCTGATTCCTGTGGTACCCAGCTGTACAGTCAATAAGTATACAGAGTCTAGGCTTGGTAAGGTTATCACGGTGGAAAGATAATCAAAATAAATGAAAACACTCACCAGTGTTGTAGGCTTGCAGTAAACTCCACAAAGAACGATCTCCAGAGAGAGATCCTTTTCAGCAAAGCCTTTGACATGGTCTCTCACAGGCTTCTTCTGGGGAAACTGTCTGCCCGTGGCCTGGACAGGTACACACTCCTTTGGGTAAGAAACTGGCTGGAGGGCCGTGCTCAACAGGTGGTGGTTAATGGAGTGAAGTCCAGCTGGCGACCTGTTTCAAGTGGTGTCCCCCAGGGGTCGGTACTGGGGCCTATCTTGTTTAATATCTTTATTGATGACCTAAATGAGGGGATTGAGTGTACCCTCAGTAAGTTTGCAGATGACACCAAGTTGGGAGGTGGTGTTGATCTGCCTGAGGGTAGGGAGGCCCTTCAGAGGGACTTAGATAAGCTGGATTGCTGGGCTGAAGTGAATGGAATGAGGTTCAACAAGGCCAAGTGCTGGGTCCTGCACTTTGGCCGCAACGACCCCATGCAGTGCTATAGGCTTGGGGACGAGTGGCTGGATGGCTGTGAACAGGAAAGGGACCTGGGGGTGTTGGCTGATGCTCGGCTGAACATGAGCCGACAGTGTGCCCAGGTGGCCAAAAGGGCTGGCGCCGTCCTGCACTGCGTTAAAAATAGTGTGGCCAGCAGGAGCAGGGAGGTGATCATCCCCCTGTGCTCAGCACTGGTGAAGCCGCACCTCGAGTATTTGTGTTCAGTTTTGGGCCCCTCACTACAAAAAAGACATTGAGGCCCTGGAGCGTGTCCAGAGAAGGACAACAAAGCTGGTGAGGGGTCTGGAGCACAAGTCCTATGAGGAGCAGCTGAGGGAGCTGGGATCGTTTAGTTTGGAGAAGAGGAGGCTCAGGGGAGACCTCATTGCACTCTACAACTTCCTGAAGGGAGGTTGTGGTGAAGAGGGGTTTGGTCTCTTCTCCCAGGCAATGAACAGGACCCGGGGAAATGTCTGCAAGTTGTACCAGAAGAAGTTTAGGTTAGACTTAAGGAAGAACTTCTTCTCTCAGAGAGTGGTCAGGCACTGGAATGGCCTGCCAAGGGAGGTGGTGGAGTCACCATCTCTGGCAGTGTTCAAGAGGCGTCTGGGCGAGGAGCTGCGAGATATGGTTTAGTAGCTTGTGGTAGCAGTGGTAGTTTGGTTGGACTAGATGATCTTATAGGTCATTTCCAACTTTGTGATTCTATGATCCTTCCTCAGTGGCAGTCAGCACTTAAATGGAATCTAGGAGAGGTGGAGGTAGGCTCCACCCCTTCCAGGTGGCACAGATGAGTTGCCTTCACCTGTGCTCCTGCGGCTGACTTATTGCTTGCCTCAGGGGTCAATCAGAGGTTCAGGCCATGATTCAGCAGTTCTCATGCACTAGTCATCTTTTTATATTTGGAATTCTGAAATTACTGCCTGCATATGAAAAAGCCAATATTTGACCTATGATGATACAAGCTTTCTTTTCTTAGTCCCTCATGAGTATCTTCTGTTATGCTCAAACTTGTAGATGTGTTCTATTGGTTTAAATAGAGTTATCATTTTATATATCAAGTAGAACAGAGAGACTAAGACATCTTTTAAAAATTTGCTTAAAGGTTTTATAATGCCTGTGTAACTTCAGGCTTCTAAATAGTTCTTTTTTTCAGGTCCACAATGTTTCGTTTGCCTTTGAGCTGATGCAAGATGGAGGACTCAAGAAACCAAAAGCTCGTCCTGAAGGTATGGACATGACACGTCTTTGAATTACATATGAAGATATAATATCAGGTGTATTTTAAGTACAACTCCATTTGAGGCAACAGAGTAGTGTTTAAAAAGTGGAGCTATAATGCGCACCTTAACAATTTTCCAGAAGATTAATTGTCTCTGTCTAGGGTATATACTAACCTGTGTTTCTTATCTGGAATAGGTTGACTGAAATTTGCACATCAAGTTTTAGGGAAAGATTCGGGAGCTATGCAATGCTATTTAATAAATTTGAGTGGTATTCTTGATCACAGTCCAAGCAGGAGCTTTTCATGGTCTAATTCTCATAGTTACTACTGTTAGTTTGTGTTCTTGGAGTCAGATAACTGAAAGGCTTTTCTCCTTTATGAGATCTGGTAACAAACTCTTCTTGATTTATGCAGTACTGTCTTGGGCTCTGCTTGTCACTGTAGTTCCATCAAACCCTCTATAGGATTAGCATCTTGACAGTATAGTCATGTAAAACATATTTCTTAGAACAAGAATTTATTTTGTTAGAGACTCCAGCAGTCTTTAGAAAGTGAGTATAGTATTCTCTGTTAATGCCGAACTGATCTATTATTCTTCCCTAAATAGGCTGGAAAATGTGTTGGATGAATTCATGTCCTTTTGTTGGAATTGTATTATAAATGCCTCTTAAATTAGTTTTAGCCCATGATTTCTGTGGTGCTTTCATGAAAGAGGTGGTTTGATGTTTTAGTGTTCCTTTGTACCAGAGATACACAAAAAGAGAACTCCTTCTCTCTGTTCTTCCAGTTCAATTCAATAGACTGAAGCAGAACTTGATGCAGAGTTATTGCAGCAAAACTGTGTTTTACTGGATTAATTTTTTAACCTCTAAAGGAGTTGTTATGGGATGTGAAAGTTTTAAAATGACGGAATGTTTTAAATATTTTCATGATTGACAGCCACTTCCAGTTAATACTTTATTAGTTATTGTTGGGAATGTTATGACTGCGTGTGCTTCATCTTAAAATAAGAAACGTGAGGCTGAGAATATGCTTACTTCTGGGAATGCCTGCAAGACATCAGTGAGGAACACTGTAATAACCCACACAGGGAGGATGCATCTTAGAATACCATACTTTTTAATGTAGCAAGCAAAGGCATATCAGGGTCCGGAAGATAGGAAAATGTCAAAATAGAATAACAGTGTATCTTTTGTAACAGTGAAGGTAATTAACCATCCGTCTGGATTGTCAAGGGATATAGATGGAATTTCTACTACTGGAAGATTTGAAAAGAAAAACAAAAGTCAAATGTTAACCTTATATTTTAAGTTCAGCCATCAGTTGGTTAGTAAGCTCAATGCAAGATTTCGAAGGTCAAGTTCACAGAATCACATAATAGCTGGAAGATACCTCTGGAGGTCTGTCCCTAGTGCTCAAGCAGGGTCAGCTAGAGACAGATACTCAGGGCCACATCCAGGCAGCTTCTGAAGGTCTCCAAGGAGGAAACTGCACAGACTGTGGGCAGCTTGTGCCACTGCTCCATCACTCACACAATTTAAAAAAAGAAAAAAAAAAAGAAAAAAAAAAGAAAAACAAAGGAAGAAGAAAAAAATATATTTCCTGATGTTTAGAAGGAATCGCCTGTGTTTCAATTTGTACCCATATGTCTGTTGACTTTGGTCATGGCACTGGGCACCACTGAAAAGAGCCCGGCTCTGTCCTCTTACACCCTTCGGGTATTTGTACACATTGATAGGATCTTCTCAAGCCTTCTCTTCTCTGGGCTGAACAGTCTAAGCTCTCTCTCTTTCCTGATATAAGAAATGCTCCTGTCCTGTAACCATCTTTGTGGCTGTTTGTTGGCCTCTTTCTAATACGTCCCTGTCTTTCTTGTGCTGGAAAGCCCAGAACTGTTTACAGCACTCCATGTGAGGCTTCAGAGAGAGGAAGAGTCACCTCCCTTAACCTGCAGTCAGTGATGCCCCTATTTCAGCTCAGGATATCATGATCCTTCCTTGCTGCAAGGACATACCCTGATGACTGTGTTGTACATGAGTTCAAATTATGTGACCACAGTCGTTTCTTCTGACTCTAAATCCACATAACATTGCACTGCCAAATAAAAGAGCTGGGTCCACTCCCTCTTTTAGCAGTAAATACCCTCGCATACTTCTGATTCCTCAGGATTATCAACACAGTCACTGTAGCTCACAGTGCTTCTGGAGATTAGAGTGAGTCAGCCTTAAATGCCTCCAGCAACACAGTGAGGGCAGGTGGCTGGTGTCTGTCTAGCACAGTGCTGCTGGTTTGGTCCCTTCCAGCCCTGCCTGTGTCATAGCATGATCCTTAGCTCTTACTCCTGCTCTGTCCTGCTGCCGCTTGCTGCCAGCACATCTTAGGATGTGCCACGTTTAAGCAAATGCAAAATACAAAATCGTAAATGATACAAGTGAAGTAATACAGGAAAATTCTGAGAGGTTACTGAAAATTCCAGATGAAATGTGGAGGATATAAGATTGTTATCCAGTTTAGGTGGGAGGGTAAGGTGGAGAGGTCCTGGCAATGATTCTTCAAAACAGGCAGTAGCTGTTTCCCCTGGACCTCATGTTAATTGTACTTGACCTGTTAACTGTTCACAGTCTTTCTAATTCCTTGTGTGATTTAAAAAAAAAACCTATTCTTGCTTCCTTCTCCTTCCATAGATACTGTTTCCTGTGTATCTTTTGCTTCTTCCACTGTTCCCTCTTCGCATATTTTACCCAACCTTTACTTTCACCTCTTCAGCATTCACTATCATCCTTGGATTACTTGTGGCATTTCCTGGCATTTTATTAGAGTAATAGAATGGGAGGTGTTGGTGGAAAAGCTTTTTTATTGGAATTTTTTTGTTCCCTGGTCTAGCATGGTAAGAAGGATATTAGGTAATAGAAAGATTAGAGTCTGCTAAAAGAATTTAAGATTTGTGGAGCATATCACTGCTGAGTTGTGGATATCATAAAATCATTTTAGTTGGAAGGGATCCTTAAAGGTCATCTAGTCCAACTCCCTTGCAGTGAACAGGGACAGCTAGATTGGGTTGCTGAGAGCACCATCTAGCCTGACCTTGAATGTCTCCAAGGACTGGGCACCCACCCATCTCTCTGGGCAACCTGTTCCAGTGCCTCACCACTCTTATTGTAAATAACTTCTTCCTTACATCTCCAATCTAAATCTCCCCTCTTTTAGTTTGAAACCATTTCCTCTTGTCCCATTGCAACAGACCCTGATAAGGAGTCCGTCCCCTTCTGTCTTATAGACCCCTTTAGATACTGAAAGGCTGCTATCAGATCTCCCTGGAGCCTTCTCTTCTCCATGCTGAACAGCCCCATTTCCTTCAGCCTGTCCTCATAGGAGAGGTGTTCCATCCTTTGCATCATTTCTGTGGCTTGCTTCTAGATGTGCTCCAGCAGGTCCATGTCTCTCCTGTACTAAGGACTCCACATCTAGATGCAGTACTCCAGGTGAGGCCTCACCAGCACAGTGTAGAGGGGCAGGATCACCTCCCTTGACCTGCTGGCCACACTTTTTTTGATGCAGCGCAGGGTACGGTTGGCTTTCTGGGCTGTGAGGGCACACTGCTGGCTCATGCCCAGCTTGCTATCCATCAGTACTCCCAAGTCCTTTTTGGCAGGTCTGTATTTTATCCTTATACCCTCCAACTTGTACTGATTGTGGAGGTTGCCATGACCCAGGTGCAAGACCTTGCACTTGGTTTTGTTTGAACCTCATGAGGTTCACCTGGGCCTACTGCTCAAGCCTGTCTAAAGTATGTGAGGTTCAGGATCTTTTATGATGTACGTGGGTACCTGTTTGCTTCTTCTGTGGCTGGTAATGTTGGTGGAAACTCAGATAGTCCAATAGGAGTGATGTTGCCAGGATGTAGCGTTTCCCACATCTCAGACAGAAGTAGGCTTTATCTGTAACTAATTTTAGATGAGGGAGGAGAAGGGAATTATCTTTCCCAGAGATGTTAGCTGTTACTGTAGTGTTGTGAAGGTGTTTTGAAATGCGTCTTGTATGATACTGAAATAGCTTGGTTTGTGGTGATTGGAACTTTTTTGTTGCTGCTCCTACAGGCTCGGAGTTGTGAAGATTTGTATTCCTTTGAGGGCAAATGGTGGAGAACAAGATGCAAATTAAGGATTTTTCCTTTTCTTCCACAGATGTTGTCAACTTGGATCTGAAGTCTACCCTCAGGGTTCTATACAATCTGTTCACAAAGTACAAGAATGTGGAGTGATCCTGGAAGCTGCTGAGATCTTCATCTTATCGATTTTCTTAGGCAAAAAATCCAATGAAAACACCCTCTGCACATTCCCTTTGTGCCTTATGCTGAACTTAATGCATTCTTTCCAAAATTGCTATGATCTCTGTAGCTGTTTGTATGACAGTCCCACTAAAAGTTATGCATGTGTTATCTCTAGGTCACTTAAAAATGTGTAGATATTTTACACTTTTACCGGGAGATATTCTTGAATCTGTTTGCTATGATCAAGAAATATTCTCTTGATAAAGGAAATATACCACTAACTTCTTTAATTAATAGGGAAAACTTGAGACTTTACTCACGACTGTGGACTCTGATTCTATAATAACCTTTCTTTCATTTGATGATTTTCCTGACTTAACCATTAGCATTAGAAACCATTAACCATTAGAAAATCAGCATTGAAATTTATTGGGAAGCTGTGCCTTTTTTATTATATAAAGTTTAATATGTTGTATTGAGTGAGTGAGGTTGAGGTTAATTACAGGCAATATCTGAAGCTTCAGTTTTTGCGTTAACCTCAACTACTCTGTTATTTCCATTCAGTGTTTACGCAGAATAAGACTTGCAATGGCATAACCATCTAGTCTTTTGAGGTCTCTTTTTATTTCATCTCCTTTCTAGGAAAAATACGTTGCTAGAACCACTGTCATCCTGTAGGTATGCAGTTTCAATCAGGTCTGTCATCAGGAGCTTGTCAAGTATGCCCATGTTGGATTAATGCTTTCTGTCCCAGTCCTTTCTGAGATGTGTGTGGGGAATAATGAGCTTAACAGTTCAAAGGCTGGCACTTCATTTCATGTAACTAAGATAAGGGGTTGGATTCCTCTTGAAGTTGCTGGCACCTATATAGTTTTGGGGGTCAAGCATTTATAATCAGTTTTTAAGTATTTTCTTTCTTGAAGATTAAAAGTGAATTCTTGTGTAAATAAGAGCTTGCCTCGTTGATTACCCTGGCTTCTACAAAATGCAAAGTGTACTTAGTGCAAGCCAGTGGTTAACTCTCAAAGTTGAAGCTTTTCAATGATGTTTAGTTGTGCTTCAAGCTAATTTCAAGTTGTCCTGTATCATCCCAAGAACTGAATTGTAGAATTTTACAATAGGCTTTTTCTCTTTTACTCCTTAAATATTTTTTAATCTCAGGAAGAAGGGAAATGGGCTTCTGCTTCTTCATTTCTTATTTTGGGATTCTGAATTCTAGTAATGAATTACTTGTGCCACCTCCCCTCATGCCTCCAAAAACAAAAGAGAAAGGAAGCTTCTCTGTTTTTCCATGAAAAATTCAGGTCCATGTATTCTGTAGGATTCTTTGGGAGTCATTGTTTGTACTTAAGGAGCAACTGACCTCTTCCTGTTTATACAGTGCCTAGCTCTATAGGACTTGAATTTCTGATGAGACCATTGGACTCTATCATGGTGCTGGCAGTTATTGCAGAGGAGACTTGTAGAAGCACTGTGACCAGGTGGGTCAGCTCTCCTGACTAATTAATTAAACTGATCTAACTTTTGTGCTGTGAAATAGGCTGGAAGATGATTTATCTGAAATGTCTCTCAAACTTTTTGTTTAATGTGGTGCATTTGTGGGAAATGAGTCTGTAGAAGATCCATCATTCCACTCACTCCCTGGATGTGGAAATGCCAGTGCTATCTTTATTATCTGAGATGTTGGGAAAGACCTCCAGAGAATCTAGTTGTGAAAATACTGGCTATATTAATATAAAAAGCAAACAGAAAATAAGAAGAGGAGGTGGATGAGAGCAGTTTTGATTTGAGAAAAGGAAAGGCTATTTCTGAGATGGGAATTTACATCTGATATCGTAATTGCCTGTGAGCGGATGTGGACACAACAAATTTAAGAGTCTCTGTCTTGTTCAGTTAGGTGTTTGTAGTTACTCTGCAGAAAGTTGAATCCCTCCTCTGCCATCTGAGGCATGAGTCTCTTCTAGCATTTCTTATGTTAACATCCCAGTTGGTCAAGACACATTGGGCATGCTGAGGGCAAGTGTCATATCCTGTGGGTTTTGTTATCTTTCTTTAAGTCTGTTGGTACATGTTGCACAGGGAAAATGCATTTTTCATTCCTTAGCTAACTGTTGTGTAACCGGGTCACTCTTCCTGAGAATGCTGTCTTTACTGTTGACCAAACTGGGAGAAGGAATGGACCTTAACTGAACTGGAGCTTCATTACAAGCAGAATAGTTTACAGGAAGAGCAGTGTAGGCAAAACCTTCTCTAAGCATGTGTTTTTGTCATGACTTTGTTACATGTGCATGATACTTATTCTCAAAAAGATAAGTCAGTGTTTAGAATGTTATTCACAAACTCTTTGCTTTACTGGAGTTTTAGATATGTTCCCCTGGGTACCAGTGGGGTAGATTTGAACCCTGTTGAATTCACCTGGAATGCTGAATGCTCTGCAGTGCTAAAGTTTCCACATTTTTAAATACTTAATGAATGTCTGTCTTTTCCAGTTCATACAACTTGCCTTTTAGGCGTGTTTGCTTGACATACTGAGATCCAGTGAGCTGTATTACCACAGAAGAAGCTCAGATATTCCTTAGCTGCATCCTATTTCTCAAGATAAAAAAGCAGCAAAGCAGATTTTATTTTTTTGATCAGTTAAAACTTATGGGCCTTCTCACCCCTCCTTCTCAAACCCCAGTGCTTTCAGTATTAATGTATTTTTTTAAGAATCTTTTCTACAGTTTTTAACAGTGTTTACTCTTGATATCTTACTAAAAACTAGTCTTGCAAATAAAATTCTGGACTTGTCATTTGTGACAAGAGTTGTGTACTGTAAGCAAGTTCCAATGCAATGCTATGTTTGCTAAAGATAACAGCAGGAGTGTTGTGCATGGTTTTTGTGATTGTTATACTATTTATTCAAATAAATAAATAAATGATGATCACATGGTTTTCCACATCTCCTTTTTTTTTTCTTTTTTTTTTTTCCTACTAAGCAGACAAATCAGTGGGAAGAACCTTTGAAAGATAATGGGCTTCAGCTGTCTTCTTTATGAAGGGTCCTAGATGTATGGTGACCCATGTAGACCTAGCAAAGGAGTGGTCTCAGTTTGCTAGCCTTGGTACAGGTGATGTGATTTTACAGTTAGACACAAATGTATCTGACTCATATGGAGGATTCATCAACAGCATTTTTGTTACTGCCCTGCTTGATCATGTTGTTCACCTTCTCCCTTCCACAAGAGATAACTGAATTATGCTGTCTGATACTTTTAAAAGTCTCTAGGCCGAGTTTTTCCGCAGCTGAGTCGGGGGGAAGCCAGGCATGATGGAACTCGAGTCCTGTATGTGCCTGCAGAGCACTTGGGAAGCCAGGAGCCCAACAAAGTGTGGAATGACACTGGAAATGCCTGTATGTTTGCTCCGGGATGAAGGGGACAAAGGACGTCTCTCCTATAAAGCAAAGCCGTCTAGGAGAGCAGGAAAATATACGATCACAACTTGTTATTGGTGGGAGTACCACCGATTCCCTGAATTGTTCTTCAGTGGCTATTTTTATAAGAAGTCGAGGTGTGTGTGGTTGTGTGCATGACACATGCTTTGGGGAATGGATGGAAAGACTCATGGGGCAAGATGCAACTCTGGCACAGAATTTACTAGTGCAGTTCTGCAGAAGACTGGATGCTTCATGCACTGCTGATGATATTTTGGAAGAAAAATATGCCCATCCACCTTTTGAGACTGTTTTTTGCCCTGTCTTGCACTGCATTGTGTCTGAGGCTTTTAAGAAAGAAACATGAGTTGCTAGTTGAAGCAGGGAGAGACCTAATAACTACAAATAAATTTCCCAAATTTTAGTTGTTTCTACTCCCTCTGCCTGCTGATAAGAAACTAGATTTCAGAAGTGCAGCATTTCCAGCTGTACTTCTTTTGGATTTTACTCCCTACATTTCTAGGCAGTGGCATGCAGTCCTATGTAGGTTAGAATGTACTCTTGGTCTTTTCTGAGTTGATATAATGTGCTTTTTTTTCTGCTTAGAGAATATGCTAAGTTTGTACTTCAACCCCTGGATGAAAGTTTTGGAGTTAATTTCTCAGTTATAAGAATTCATAGCACCTGGAAGTCTGTTTTCATCTCACTTTCCTTTACCCTATTTAGCTCATGCTGAACTATTAGTTCTCATCTATGGTGTGGAGCTGAACACAGAAGTCAGTCCCTTAATAGTGTTAAAACAGAGTGGCTTAATTAGTGTGGCTGTCTCCTGTCTTGTTCTGGGATTTCATGGAGGACTGCAGAGCTGTTGCTTTTTTTCTGGAAGACTTAACAACTGTAAGCGATACCTGAAGGAGATGTCCAGGGAAAGTGATGGCTGTGGAGAGGTTTCTCTCTTTAATCACTGGTAAAAAAAAGGGGAGGCAGAGTATCAGATCTGCCTAGCAGAAGTAACTCTTGTACCAGATGAGCATTGGGGCACTGGTGTGACTAACTAGCTGTCCAAGGACAAATGAGCTCATTTCCTTCTGCCTTTCTACTTCTGCCAGGTAGGAAGAAAAGTGCTGATCTGCCTTATAAAATGCTCTGAAGACCATGAGCAAGAGGTGTAATGTAGCATGATGATTTTATTTGTCACTGGATCTTTTATTAAGGGCAAAGAAAACATGCAGTGATGTGGACTAGCAAACGATGTGGTGCTATGAAACAATGACAGTATCTTGCTTAATACCTTCTGGCACTTCAAGAGTTGTGAGGATGCATGCTTCCTGCATTTGTATTTCTGTTTATTGCAGTCTCCAGCAGGAACTGAGCACGCAGACAATGAAGTTCCGCTTATGACTCTGGTTTCGTTTTCAAGTACTGTCAGTGCTGTGTGGTGCAGCTTCCACCACGCACAGTGTGCGTGCTTCGTGCTGCCCTGTGCAGGGGCTGCAGTGGAACCAAGCCCCTGAGCTATTGCATCGCGCTGCTGTGAGAAAAGCTTCTGGAGGAATACTGAAGAATTGAATAGTAAGTTTGGGACTTGTTCAGGGGAAGTTTTGGTGGGTTTTTTTCCAGCTGTAGAGCTTCATGCTTCTTCACGCTTGCACATGGATTGTTCTTGCTGAGACAGTGTCTCTTCTGATGCTAGTGACTAAATATTGCTCTTTGAAAAGTCCGATACTGAACAAGGAAGTAAACATAAGTTTTAAACTGGGTGCACAGTGCGTGTTCTCTCTCTCTTTTTATTTATTCTGCTGTTTTGAAGGCAGAAGTGTTATCACTAGCATTCAGAATTGTGTTTTGTTCCCCATTTGTGTGATCTGTTTAGAAAACTGTTCCTAGGAAATGTGTTCATGCTGATGCAGAGCGGGCTTTTGTCTTGTTCAAACAGGAAGTTCAGCAGCTGAAACAATTTGGTGAGTGCCTGTGTATATCCTACGGTCAATTCAGATGTCCTCTCACCAGTGCTTTATATCATATTTGGGATATCTGAGAGTCAGACTATGAGAAGACTTGAAGTGAGGTGAGCTGATGTGGCTCACTAAGAAAGTGAGTTAGTTTATCTGTCATTGTTGCAGCATTATGCAATAGTCCAGTTCTCGGCCTACCAAAAATTCACCACGGCAGGTGGTGCAAGAGGAGTACAACAACTGTTGCTTTTAAAGTGAACAAGCTGTGACTTCTCAGTAAAAGAGAACGAATGACCACATAAAGCCATTTCATTTGAATAGTCAATAATTAAAGCTCAATTTTATTAAAAAAATTCCACTGTGAAATGCCACTACAATCAGTATTCAAACAGTTGTCTCCTAGAATGATCTGTCCTCCTAATAGTGATAAATAATTCATGCAGGAGGCCAGAGAAAAATAGCACATCACTAACAGCTCTGGATAGTGAATTTGAGCGCTAGACTGCAGAGGTTATGGGAAGCGTGGAAGCTTGCAGGTGAGAACCAAATCTCCCATCCTTTCCGATTTCTCATTAAGCAATTAAACCCAAGGAGGAGTCCAAATCCCGTTTTGTTCTGTTTCACGCTGTTTCTGCAGCAGGTTAACTTTTGAGAGGCTGCTACGTAGGATCAAGCCTCACAGCAATGAAACTTGTCACAAGAGACTACTCGAGAGCACTAATTATTAGTAACAAGTAATGAGTCTATTAAATGCTAAGCAGCTGCAGTTCTTAGCCTCTGAAATGGCAGTTGGAAATCAACGTAGGTGAATGCAAAGTGAAACACATAGTGGGAAATCACAATACTGGTTCTACATATACGGCTCAGAGCAGGGTGTTGGTATTTAGGAATAAGATTTTGGAGTTTTAATAGACACTTCTGTTAAAGTGAATGCTCAGCAGTGATCAGTAAAGCAAACGATGTTAGGAATTAGGAGGAAAGGCATGCAAAAAATTGCAGAGGGTATTGTGGGCACCGCCCTAAACCTGTGCAGTTCAGCTTCCTAGCAATTCAAAAAGGATGTGGTAACATTGGAGAAGGCTCTGACAGGGGTGGCTCGGACGATCAAAGTTACAGAATGGCATCCCTGCTAAGGACATAGGGTGTGCTTCTTTGTGGAAAGAGATGCCTGTTGAGGGTGTACTGTAGCAGTGCAGTAACATAAAGATGTGAAGAAAATGAAATAATGGCTCTCCACTTAGGTGTAGTGGGGCGCTTCAGAGGAAGTAGCTTAGGGTCAGAGCAAGCAGAAGGGAAGTGTTTCCTCATACCAGGTGAGGCTATGCTCTTCAGCTCCTCCTGCTGAATGGTGAGAGAGGCATGCATTCGTGGGCAGGCTGGGAAGTTCATGAGAACTAAGTATTTTGACAGCATCAAATTACTAGGACCCCAGTTTTGGTTTAGAAAGGCTGAGCAGCAGGGTGTTGAAGCTTGTGAGTGTGTTTCAGGGAAGTAACTTGTGAATGCTTGCTCTATTTTCTTTTTCCATAAGCATCTGGCTTTGTGTGCTGTAAGAGACCAGCAGCATCCAAATGATCTCTGAGATCAGGTGACACATTTTGTCTCACCCAGGATGGCCATTTTACCATTCTGGCCAAGTACAACACACAAGACCTAGTCCTTGGAGTACATTAATTTTTGTTAGTGTAAATTCTTAATTTCAGACCTTTTCCTATAGGCCTCCAAATGTTAAAGGTAGCTTTCTGATGTCCGAGTTCCTTGGCCAAACAGATACCAAGGATGTGGCAGGCAATATGCCTTCTTTTAATGTGTAAATATTCAAAGGAAGTGTAAGGGATGTACAAGTTGAATATTGCAGTGAAGCTGAATCGGTAAGTTGTGGTTTACATGGATTATTACATTGGGCTTTAAAGTAGAACTTTCCAAGACAAAACAAGTGCCAGAAACCTAATTTAAGTTGGACTTAGGTTTCTCTGTATTAATTACCTCTTTCCTCCTAGTTTCCTCCTCTAGACAGTCTCATCTCAGATAGTTCAGTTGCTCCCCAGGCACTAAATGACTCAATTTCTCCAAAGTATCTTAGTTTATTATCCACGTTTCTAGTGACAACATTCAGTTTTGCAGCCATAATGACAGTAATTGCTTTGTGACTCTTCTTCCTTGGTGGTTTGTTGGGCATTTTGTATCTAATTTGTTTGCAAGACTGATATGCAAAAGTATTTAATTGCCACTTCCTACCAATAATCGTGGCTTGGCAAGATCTGTGTTAAAATACACATTCATAGCGGACTTTGACTGGAGCCTTTAATGAACACTGAGAGAGTCTGCAGGGGACGATTATACATTTTGGAGTGTAAAACTACCAGAGAAATGCTGGAAACTGTCTCTGGGCAGTTGTGCAATGGCATTTGCAGCAGCTCTCTTGCTCCAGAAGCAAAGAGAAGATTGTGAAGGTTCTGGAGGACAAGGTGTCTGAGGAGCAGCTGAGGTCCCTGGGTTTGCTCAGCGCAGAGCAGAGGAGCTGAGGGGAGGCCTGATGGCGGCTGCAGCTCCTCACAGGGAGCGGAGGGGCAGCGCTGAGCTCTGCTCTGTGTGACAGCGACAGGGCCCGAGGGAACGGCGAGGAGCTGTGACAGGGGAGGGCAGCTGGGGTTAGGGACAGGTCTGCACCACAGGGTGGTAGGGCCACGGAACGGGCTGCACAGGGCAGTGGGCATGGCACCAAGTGCCGGAGTTCAAGGAGCATTTGGGCAAAGATTTCAGATATAGGGTTTGGATTTTGAGTAGTCCTTTGTGGAACCAGGAGCTGGACTCTATGATCCTTGTCAGTCCCTTCCAACCTGGGATATTCCATGATTCTGTGATCTGCTGAAGTTAACTGATCTTTGATTTAAAGAAGAGCTATGCTTTTTGTATAAACTTTTAAAAGAGACTCAGGTTCGACTACTATTCCTTACTTTAGTCTTTGCCACATTAAAGCATCTTAATTTTCTTAGTCTTGTGGACTTGGCCGATCAACCTTTACATAAACATACAGACTGCAAAAGCAAGCACTTAAATCGGAATATTTCCTACCACTTAAACGTCCTGTAGAGCCCGGCTCTGTCTTTCGTGTTTTGTAGGCATCACGGAACAGACTTATGTATGCGTGGTTAAAAAATCAGACTTGTCTTTGCTTGTACTGTGGTTTAATTCAAGAACATTTAATTCAAGATCTTTGCCAGCCTCTTCTTCATAGGTCGTTGCTGGTCTCACATTGAACTTCAGTTTGGTAGGACATATGTGGAAGGTTATACAGCCTCCCCACCCTGTTCCCACAGCTCCGTTCTCTGGCTTCTGCTGTCCTGTGCAGCTCCTAGCCATTTTAGAAAAGCCTGCCTGTCGTATTGTTTGTTGATAGAGTATTTTCATCTCCGTGTTGTGTATCGCCGTTCTGCTTTCATTCAAAGATGGCTAGGCTGCGTAGGGAAGTCATTCTCCAGTCTGTGTTTAAAGTACAAATCGTTGAGAAGCTGTGCGACTTAATTTAACATGAAGTTGAGGTTGTATACCCAGAAGGAAGCTGCTTTTTTTTACACGACCGTACCAGATGGTCTAGTAAAGGAAACTGCTTGTATTTGTAAGCTTGTGTCTAATTTAACTACTGCATTCTTGATTTAATAGTTCTTAAGTATCGATCGTTTTTATATGTATTGATATCTAGCAGCTGAAAGCTTTTTTTTTAATGTAAGTTGAAAAAGGATTTTACTAATTAATTCAGATGAAACAATTGGTTGGAATTAAGGCAAGTTTTTGTGCTTAAGGGCTTCCTTCCCTACATTCTGATTATTAACAGAAAAATTGAAGCTTCATTTTAACCTTACTTTTTTTTAAATACACATTTAAATATTATTTTCAGATTGTTTTTATAGGTAATCTATAGGTCATTAAATAATAACTAGAAAAAAAAAAAGCGCCCTTTCATTTGTTTTCTTCCTAAGACTGATTTTCTTCTATTCATGCCTTCTTAACTCATGTTTCCTTTCACTCTGTATCTTTTTTCAGGTAACCAGGAGTGAAAAAATACAATGGACGCAGACTTCTTAAATGCGTTTACACAGCCTGCTGCCCTTAATCAATTCCTCGTTGAGAATGTCATCACTCCAGGTACGTCGTTTGTAAACCAAGACAGAAAAAGGTCCAAGGAGTGACCTGAAGAGACAAGCGGAAAAATTGCAGTACAAATGAATCGTGTATTTTTTGACAGTAGTCTCCTGGCTTCATCAGCAGCAAGTAAATGCTGTGTTGTGCATGTAGTTTGGCCTCTGACTCTCTTGAAGCAGATAATGAAGAAGCAACACAAGTCCTAGCTGATTCCTTAACTGAAATTGAAATTTCATACATAAAGGTCTGCCTAACTTTTGTTTGTTTCCAGGATTGTCCCTCTAGATTTATTGATTTGAATTACGTTGAAATATAACTTCTGACAGCAGTCATTAATGTTTTGATAAGCCATTTTCTTCCTTATGGGGAATCAACTGAAATAAAAAATGGCAATTTCTACATATGTCAGCTAGTGATACTGCAGATTTTATGGAAACTGTCATATCTGATAACTATAATTAATTTTGTTTCTTTCCTTCATAGGAGAGAAGAGGAAACTCATAAAACCCACCTCAAGCAACAATCCCAAATTGGAGGAATTAAAACTGGTACAATTTCTTTTACTATAGTGTTTAACTCTTACCTGAGATTGCTGTATCCTGCCACACTGCTGCTCAGTCATGTAAATTACTCAGCTCCTTGCCCCCAGTCCCTCACTCTTTAAGGGCATGGGCAGGTCCTGATGCTGGCACTTGGGCTTTGTCAAGAACACTTCTACGCTATATGTGCTGAAACCCCACAGAGTGGTCTCTGTTGTGCATAAAGTGGGAAGCTGGTTTAAAATCTTGGATTCTTCTTACATGACCTCTCACATAACTCGGAACACGTGTATGAAGTAGCCAGGGGCTACTTGGCTGTAGCAATAGTGTAATGGCAATAAGAATCCATCCAAGACAGCCAGCTGTGATTGAAAGGAAATCCACGTCAACACTTGTTATGACTAACAGGAAACGTTCAAGTACATTGAAGTTGGTTCTCCTGATCCTATGATAACAGGCTGTGGAATTGCTATGATAATGGTCAGCAGTTTTCTCTTGTCCTCTGCCTTGTGTCTGCAGCTCGCTGAAGGCTGCTGGCTTGGCGCAAGCTAAGGTGCAGCCTGATGGGTTAATAAATAACAGAATAAAGAGGAGTGAGGATGTGCAAGTCACCAGTGAAACCGAAGAGAAAAGCCCTCAAGCTGTTGTGCAGTTCATTGTCTGCTTGAGGTAGCTGTGACAGATGAATCCTATTTCACGGGAAAGTGCTTTATTTCCAAGTAATTTTGAAAATTCCCCCTGTGCTTTCAATCACTGTATTTTTCTAGTGGCATAGCCCAGGGGAAGGCGAGCATACTGAAATTTCCTGCAAGAAAAGTGGTGTGTCTCTTTTGAGACTGGCACTTCTTGCATTATGGAGATACTAAAAGTGTTAGAAATATTACAAAAACACGCTTAGGCTTTGTGCTGTTGTGTGTGTTATATGGCATTCATAAATCCATAAATATGTGTGCTTCTTTATTATGTTTTCTTAAAACTTCATGCACATTTGATCAAAAATATTTAATTTCTGTCTCAGGCTTTCACAATGTTTTTATATGAAAAAGGAAATCTTGAAAGGTGATGCTGCAAAATGCAATTATGTTGTCTACAGAGACATTGCATTTGTTCTTTCCAGACTGCCAAAAATGAAGAGATTCCTTACTATATGGAGATTTCTGTGAGCTTCAGTGCTTGATTCTTTTCCTCTCAGAAACTCCTGAAAGAATGTTGCTGTCTGTCTTCTCTGTGGAAGATGGTGAGGTGCAAATGGGGACCCAAAGGAGGGCATCCTCCGTGTGCATCACTGCCACTGCTTGCCCTCTTGATCTGAAATGTTTGTGGCTCTTTCAGAGAAGTGCTTGGGATGGAGAGAAGGAGCCGTGGAGATCCTTATTTAACTTGGAAAAAGACAGTCTTGCATTACATTTTTGTTCTGAAGGGCATCTGGGACCTAAGAAGTGTGAAATGACTTGGTGTAGTTAATGTAAATATTGGAGAATGTGTAAAAGAGAAGATGGTTGCTTTAGAAGCCATTAGCAAACATCTTTAGGTATTCCTTTTCTCTTTTCTCAATTTATTCATTTTTACACACTATGCTCTGGAGCTGAATGGGAGCCCAGTAACAGGACTTGAAAGAGTAGTCTGAGCTGCAGGCTGTGGTCGTGGCTTTGAAGTGCTGAGATATCCAATGAGGGATCTCATAAGTCTATACTTAGCAGTACTTTCTGCTTTTTGGTCTTGCCTCTACCATGATTCTTGTTCTGTGTGTCTAGCCCTTGCCCACCTAGACATCACCAGATCTTAGCCTGCAGGAGCAGAGCTTTCTGCTCTAGAGAACACCAGTTACTTCTTTGTTGAGGAAGTATGCTACAAATGTTTTGTCAGCTCCTCAGTTCAGGAGAGTGCCCAAGCTGGGCATTTTTTTCTCATGCAGTTTCAAGCATCCCAGAGGAAATTTTTATTTTTATAAACTGTTTCTTACATTTTTGTTACTGCTGGCTAACTTACAGGGACCTGCTATAAATTATCTCTTATATTTACATCAAATGAGAAGGAGATCACCCATACAACATACTCCAAGCACTCACTTGCAGCAGTAAAAATAGCAATACCAGCAATACATGTCTTTTTTCAAGAGATTCTTATTGATAACCAGCTGGGGCTGCTGCTTTTTAATTCTGCTTCAGCAGGTCGTCTTGCCTTTGTATTAGCATATGTGACGAAGTAAGCAATGAAGAAATGCTGAGGAGCTCCTTTGGTCTCGTGCATACAGGATATAACCCACAGAATGAGAGAAGGCTTTCACAGACTTTTGTCTGTGTTTGAATTCTCTGATGTCTAATAAAGGGCAGGGGTTGGAGGTCTACTTTACTGCCTTTTCCCTAATGGAAGTGGCAATAGGATCTGCCTTCTTCCCTGTATAGCTATTTCTACAAAATTCATGAGAATATAACTTGGGAGGCACCTGTCTCACTTAAAAGTTTGCCCAGAAGTGGCCAATGAGCCTTGTATTATTAGGAAGAACCAAGTGACACTTAACTTCCATTTTCTTTAAAAAGTAACCAAGAAACAAAAGGGAAGTAGAGGTTGAGAGCAAAATGAAACATGAAATAAGAGACTAAAGAAAGAGGTGAAGCATAGCATAGCACTGAGGACTTGTCCAGATATATAATTGTCAGCTGTTTTGTTTTCCTCCGCAGCTGCTGATTGACTGGATTAACACGACTCTGAAAGAGGAGCACATAGTAGTTAAAAGTTTGGAAGAAGATCTGTATGATGGGCTGGTACTTCATCATCTCTTGGGTAAGCTGCCCCTGAGTTAAGCTTGCAAATAAATAACAGAAAAACTTTACAAAGATAGGATAAACATACTCTTGAATGGAAAGATAATGTGGATAAGTTGTGATAAAGGCAACTCTGAATGGATGCCTGGTGATCCACTATTGCTTTATACAAATATAGTTTGTCTTCTCAGAAAGTTTTAGCATCAGCCAAGAGCACAAAGGCAACTTATGATGCTACCAGAAATATCAAATGGGATCAGCACAATGATTTATATGTTTTCCAGCTTTTTTGTTTTGTTTTGTTTTTAAGTTTCAGGTCTAATACTCTGAATTGATGAATATAAATTTATTAAAGATGTGATCTCTTGGAACAGCCTCTTGGTCCATTTGTTTCTTCATTTTTCCTGTCCCTGCTTTGTTTTTCTTTTTTTGAGCACTCCTTTCAAATCCCATCTCCTTTTCCTCAAGGCTGAAGACAGCAGAGTGAATACGATTGGCGTATTTTCATAGACTGCTTGTCTGAGCAAAGAGCTGGGATTTCTTCTTTATGTGTGAGTTGGTATGGCTTTTGTGCAGCACCTACAGGAAGGATTCATGTGTTGAATTCCTGTACGTTCCCCTTGGAAAAGGAGTGCTGTGGAGTGCTGGGGATGGGAGATGCTGCTGTAAGGAATGGGCTGAGACCTTCAGAGTTTTACTGAGTTTACTTGAGGCTATCAGAGAGAGTGGGTGTTTGATAAGGCATATGCTGGTGGGCTGTGGGTCTGAGGTGTGGAAGCTGTTAAATAGTACTGGGCATTGAAAACAAGACTTTGTGTGCTTTTCTGTGATTTTATATTGATTTTTTTTCCCTTTCTGTGATGGTGTTAAATGCCTCCATCTTCTTTACGTGGGCTCTCTGTCAAAGAAAATCTAGGATCTCTCAAGCTGGATGTTGACAAGATAGCATTAACAGAAAAAAAACAGCGTCAGAAACTCTCTGTGATTCTGGAAGCTGTGGCTAAGTGTTTGCAACTGGAAGAAAGTCAGCTGAAATGGAGTGTGGAAGGTAGGTGCAGCTGTGAAACAGGACAAAATTAACCATCTCGAAGCTTCCTCTGCTGTAAGACTGCTGTGCAGCAGTGGAGTGCCAGAACAGTAATTAAATGACCTGTTTGCAATTATTAGTTGAACCACAAGTGAGACAAGAATATCTGTCCCTGACTAGGTGCAGCTGTGTCCTCCAAGTATGTGGTTTAACAGCCTTTAGCATCCATGTGAATGTCTCACAAAGAGGACTTTTAAGATGTGTTATTGCTGAATTGAGATGTGATATGAGCCCCAACTTGATGTTCCATCTGTGTTACTGTGACTTTTGGATGCTCTGTCCAGGAAGAACTTAAGATATTACAGGGAAGTTTAATTGTTCTGCACAATAAACATTGTATTCTTTCTTTACATGGTATAGCTATTTTAGCAAAGGACTTACTGAGCACACTGCATCTTCTGGTCGCAATAGCAAAGCACTTCCAACCCAGTCTGGCTTTTCCTCCAAATGTTCATGTGGAAACAATCACTATTGAGGTATTTAAGGCTTTAATATTTGTCACCGAAAATCCTAAAAACATTTCACAAGACTTAGTTTTATTTATAATTAAGGAGACATGTGTGTGCAACAATAAATGGGAGACTTATTTTCTGTGAACTGTGTCTTTCAATTTAATGACTAGACCATAATTGTTGAGCTTAGTTCAGATGCTGTAACTTTAAAAGGATAGAAACACTGTGTTACTTTTTCTCTTTGATCAAAAAAATGAACGGTCCAATCTGAAGGCAGCTATTGATATCAGTAAAAAAGCAAAAGAAGAAATTCTGTTCCTGCTGTCTCTAAATGTTTTAAAATTGAAGTCTGCGCTTACTGAACGTTGAATATTACATTAGTTTCTTTCTGTAGGGGGAGTCTTTACTGTCCATTGGAGTCACATTTTGATATTTTTTTTCTATGAGCTGAGATTTGCATGCTTTCTTTCTCCACTGTTTTTTTTGCAGTCAGCTCTGGAACTTCAGGAGAATATTCAGAAGCCCACGGTTTGAGATACAGTTGCAAAAATCAGCACCACTACATCACAGTTTTAACAGTACACTTGCCATTCTGTTGTGTTTTGAGCCCTGCACCCTGTATGGCATTACCTAGAGTTTTCACTCTTCGAAGGATGATAACTGGAACTGGGACCATACATACACTTAAAATATATTTTTCATGTCTGGAGGATTCAAAGTGTCTGGGAGGGACAGCCTCTTCAGGGGCCATGTCCCAGCTTAGCACTCAGGAACATTTCTTAGAATTACTCTAATTACTTGTTCCTTTGCAGTGCTCAGATGCTCCTGTCGTGTGAATCCTTCCCACCAGTGAAAAGTCAGACTCTTTATAAAGCAGTCCTCCCACTAGTGCCCTGTGTGGCTGCAAGTGCCTCAGCGCACAGAAATCAGCAGGGATTATCTATAAAACCACCGCATCAGAAATGAACATTAACCCTGAGAGAGGGAGGGCTGTGGTAATGGAGATGGTGGGGTTTTGGTGTTGAGCTCTTTCTTTACAAGAGAAATTAATGCTCCTGAAGGGAACAGGTCATTCTTGGTTGAAGAGAGCAGAAAGGAACAGCAACCTCTCAAAGTGCCTGTACTAATTGTGCTGGACTTCTTGATCAATGCTCTCTGGTAGTCATTTAAGGCAGCAGCCAGTTCATGAAAGTGTCACCAATTCTTTCAGATTTTTTTGCATAACAAAACCAAAAATACATATTTTCTGTTTAACAGAACACCTCCAAAGGATTAAAGACAGCAAATGGGGTGGAATATATCACAGGAAGCAAGTAAGAGTGGATATATTTGGTTTGTATGCTGTCAATCAGAAAGGAAATATTGTGGGTGTTTTTCCCCTTAGAAACAAAAACTATCAGATATTATGATGATGACAAAAATCATAAAACCAGGCATGCAGATCCATGTTCTACTTTTTATTTAAATTTCTCTAAAATAATGTATATGAGTGTTTATGAGGTTGTTATTGCCATGGAATATAGTAATAAAAATAGCAATAAACATCCAGTACTCTAAATTCACTGTAAAATAAACAGGAAATTTTATAAAGCCACAGTGGTTTATATCTACTATTCATTTATTTCTATTGTGTCCATAAATTAAGAAAATGGAGGCAGATTTTTTGCTTATTCTGATGTTGATGAAATAAGGCTTGGGCTTGCTGAGTTTGTGAGGTGTTGTGGTTATTAAAGATCTGGCAGGATACCATTTTTACACCAAGAAAATATGGCCATCATTCCAAGAACCAGAAACAGACTTTCCTACTGTCATCTTTTATATGCTAGAACATCTTCAAATTCTAATTTAATGAGCAGCTTATTGCAAGAGGTTATTATGGGTTGTGTTTATAAAATAAATGTTCATTGGTCTGTGGGCCAGTTAAATTCTCATATGTTTCCAAGTGTCTACACGGATATACAGTGTGCTTAAAAGTGTCTTTTGGAAAGTTACTCTGACATAAAGTTAATGGCACTTTGTACTGTATCTCCTGCTTTACAAGGTGCCTGATGGCCCAGATAAGCTTTGCTTATGAATAAGATTAGTTCTGTTGAATGCTTTTTCTAATTCTTTCTTTTTTATTGCACCTCTAGAGAGAATTCAGAAGAGCAGTCAAGTAAGTACTGGCATTGCCAAATCCAGCATTTATCCATTAAGTATTATTATGCCCCAAAGTGGGATTGATTTTTACCATCTGATAAAATCATTATGTTTCCACTAGAACTAGTGGGGACTCATTGATTTCTCCTGGCATTTTTCTCCAAATGTCTTCTCTTAAAGTCTGTATATTCAGCACAATATGGCTTGGAAGCTGGACAGTCCCTTTGCCTGTGGGCTGCAGGTGGGAGGTGAGACAGGGAATGATGCAGTGAACTGATGACCCAGCAGAGAAGCCCTGGCTGGGGACAAAATATGCCTTGAACTAAAAGAAATAATTAGTCTGTGCTGATCTCATTCTCTCTGTTGGAACTACTTATGAACACAGTGCCATGAGAATTGTGTTTCTTCTTGCCTCAGTAGTTTCAATGTCATTTCCTTTCTGCAGCTTTCAGATAGGATTCTGAAATCTGGTGCTTGGTTATGGATAGCAGCTCACTAACGCAAGCAGCCTCCTTGGAGATTTTACCTTTAGGGCTTTTGAGGGCTATGAAACACTTGAGGTGAAAATTGTCCACGTGTGCGGAGCCTACAGAATGTCTTGGCACTGCCCAAGCTTTGGCTTGAGGCTTTTGACTAGCACACCATGAGCTGCTCCTTGCTGCTAAGGAGCATTCTTCATCCCCAGTGAATGGGTGCAACTGTTTTAATTCTCTGCTGAGCCCTCTGTATTAGCATTTCATACTTTGCAGAGGTGCAAACTGTATCATTTAATACATGTTTATCACTTATTCCCCTGACTGGCCCCTAGCGTGGGCTGAAATAGTGAAAAATACTGTAATTGAGTATTTCTTCCAAAGGATTGATTCTGCTGGAAAAAAGAAATCTGAAATTCACTCTTCAGAATGCTGTCTCCGTCTATTTTTAACACGACTTGCTTAACAAAGACTGAAAGAAGTCTCATAGCACAGCTCCAGAAGAGGGCTCTCTCGTTTGTGAGACGGCTGCAGGTTGCAGACTGGCTCTGAGATGTGATGGGATCCATCCACCTGCTTCCCAGCAGGGAGGGAGGGCAAACTAGCTAAGCTCCTTCACAGCAGAGGCTTCCCTGCTGCTGACTTTCCGGAGGAACTTTTCTTAAGCAGAGTTGCATTTGCCTACCTGCACCCTAGAAATCCATTCCTCATTTGGTTTTGCTGCCAGAACTGATGCAGTACAAATCTTGAGAACATCTGCAGGTAAAAATTACAGAGCTGAATGAATTAAATTTGGTATAATCAGGCTAGAGAGAAGCCTCTACCTCTGTCCTGTGTTAAATCCAAAAGCAGGATTTTTTCCCTTCTCCCTAAAACATTTTTCCTCCCTGGTTTATAAGGTGTGATTGCCTTTCTCCTTCTCAAAGGATGATCTGACAGTTTATTCCAAACAGTATCAATTAATGTTGTTTTGATACAGCGGATGATGCCTTTGATGAATTATTTAGCCGTGCTCCTGAAAGACTGGATGATGTAAAAAAGGTAATTTATTTATTTATTCCTTAACAGAATCAAAATAGGTTGGGTGAAACATAATTCATAACTTCACTGAAAAGAGTGCTCTTTTATTCCTCTCCTTCTGTTTTCCATAGGTGTTTTTGCAATTCGTCAACCAGCATGTTGGAAAATTGGGATTAAATGTGAAAGACATGGAATCTCAGGTAGCCTGCACTGAACTGTACCTTATCATTTTCTGTCATTTACTTGAATGTTTCCTCTTACCATTAGAATCCCTCCTTTTTGTTGTATCAGTTTTAAACTTAGCAACATAACGATTGTATTTAGCTTTGGGTTAAGTTATAAGGCTTCGGTCTCTGAAATTTGAGAAACTTCTAAGAAATGGAAAAATATAGCATTGTACTGAATACTGTACGTTCCTTCTAATGCTACAGGGAGTCATTTTCAGAATCGACTGAACTCCCATCTTTCTGAAGTAGGGCTGATTTCTGACAATTACACTGAAAGTCAGGTTGGTTGCTGGTGTTTAGTCTTTAATGCAGGGTTTGCTACAGGGTAGGAAGGCTTGATTTTCTTTAAATAGCAGAACTCCATCCTTTGAACATCGAGCTTCCTTAGAGTCCATCAAATTGCAGAAGTGCTCGCTGGGCAGCTCAGGATCACCTCCCATGCACAGGAAAGAGAGGCTCCACCACACCTTCACTGTTCTTGGGGACAGAGCAAGGGCTGGGGAGATGTCTCAGGGGTGTCCCTGATCTTTTTTTCTTTGCTTCCATGTACACATACACTATAGCAGCAGGAGAAATCAGCCTGTAAGAAGGGAAGTTCTGGGAGGCTTTTGTCGTAAATCTCAGGCACTGTGCACAAGTGTATTCATGTGTTTGTCACTTGTGGCTATCTGAAGTCTCGTCACATCTGGAACAGTTTGTTTTAATAGCAATCCTTTCATGAGGTCGTATTTTTTTTTAATATGAGCTTAGGAGCCTTATGTAAGTATGTACGAAGCGTGCTGTCTGAGAGGTCGAGGAGGATGAGTCATTGGGCTGTCTGGTTGCCAGAGTACCGTTGCAATTCCCTCATCACTGGTGTGGTGTTTATCTTCGGAATTTACTAAAAGCCCACGTAATAAATAATATTCAAATCATTCCTCTTCCAGTTTGCAGATGGAGTTATTTTACTTCTGTTAATTGGACAACTAGAAGGTTATTTTCTGAATTTAAGGGATTTCTTTCTGACTCCAGCTAGCACCACAGAGATGGTAAGTTGTTATTTAATCACTTAGAACCTGAAGCTTCAAACATCTTGTGTATTTATTGCTTCCATATGTCAGAAGAGCTCTGTGTCTTGCTGTAACTGCTGCTGCGTATAAAACCATATACATGCACAGTGTTTGCTGGTAATGCTTTGGGACAGTACAAATGCAGGTAGTAGGTGCTATTCAAATACTTTGGGACGTGTTGTTATCTTCTTCAAAAATGTATCATCTTACATGATGTGAGCTATTGTTGATTGCATTTATTTATGCAGATGCATTCTTCTGAAGCCTTCCAGTTAAAATCAGAGTCTCTCTGCAGCAAGGAATTGGTGTGCTATCCTCCTACTAGTCTGTCCTACAAATGACATTGTTAAACGGATGACATATCTTGCATAACAGAATTGGATTCATATAGCTTTCCTTATGCCATCCTAAAAATATACCATAATTGAGACATGACCAGAACATTTTGAAAGCCCCTTCTGTATTTTAGAAGCTCTCAAGAATATACCTCCTTTCTTCCCCCAAGGCTGGGAGCTGTAACGTACCCAGCTGTCCTTGCTCCATTCTCAACCAAATCTACCAGGCAGATTTTATCAGAACATCCAAAGAAAATAGTAGTATCAGCCAGAAGATAGTGCATGCTGGGTTGCTGGTGTGAATGCTCCAGCCACAGATCCAGGATACTGAAATGTTTTGAGGCATCTGAGATCTTTTCAAATTGTTTCTGATGTTGCTAAGATCATAGGTGTTTCTGATGTGGCTCAGTTGCTGACGCTGGTGGATCATGAACACTTCCAGGAAGCTGACCATGAAAACTGTTATTTATGTTGATGATTTTGTATACGCGCATTTTTGCAGCATAAAATCAAAAAAACTTTTTCCAATTGGGTCAATGAATAGCTTAGAAAATCATAGAATTATAGAATGGCCTAGGATGAAAAGCACCATAATGATCATCTAGTTGAAACCCTGGATGTTTTTCCTGGGCTGTATTTGTTTAGGTCTCTGAAGATGAAATGTTTCATATCCTTTGTGCTCTAGAGATATCTGAGAAGGGAATCTCTCCTCTGATATGATTTGCATTCAGGGTTTCCCACACAAATGTCGATTCCCAGTCTCACTGCAGCTCATCTCCCCAGGCACTATTTATCTGTGATGAAAATTCTCAGAGATCCCTTCTTCAATAATAAATACTTCTGTGGAGATCATCAAAGCATTTAAAAGTACAGCTGTCTGAGGTGTAGGTTCGGATTTTGTCAAAATTGGTTGACTGTTAAAGGCATTAGGAAAATTCAGACTTTATATCTAAGGTGATGGAAAACAGATTTTGAAAAGTTAAATAAAATCAAAGCTTAAAATCTTTCCCTTTCTCCTCTACTCAGTTTTCAAAATTGTGTGCTCTGGTTCATTGAATTAGGAACAAACTTTCAACATTTTCAGCAACTTCCTTCAGAAGAAGTCAATGAATATTTTTTCATTTAAGATTTTGTAGATAATGTTTTTCTTTTTGTATTAGCCCTATTCCAACTTGCACGGATTTCAAGAAATGAGATGCCTCTACATTTTAGGTACAAAACAGAGCTTAGAATTCCTAGTTCTTACCCTGCTTCCAATGGTCACTAGCCCCATATGAGGTTATAATGAGGCTGTGTACTGGTTCAATTCAATACTATACATCCCAGCAATTCCATTTTAGCAAAATTACTTTCAAGAGCTGTATTTTCTGTTGAATACTTTGCCAAAGTGCTATTTACTGTTATTCTTGTCTGATGTTTATTACAAGAAAGAAAGCAAGCTGACAGAACAACTAAAAATATTGAACTACCGTGGTTCAGCTGTCATTTGAACATAAAATATGTCTTTCAATCCCCATGTGCTGTCTTACTCCCTGCCATTTTAGACGTTAATTGCTACAGTAAAGTATGAAAACATAACCTTTGCTGATATTTAAAACATGCCATTCATGTAATAAAAGTGTGACAACCACACGCACCACTGAGATCAGTGCAGTGCACCAATTTGCTCTCAAGCTGGAAGCTTGCAGTTCCAAACTGGTAAGTGTGCCTCATGATTCACAAGGAGAGGAAACTGGAATGGAAGTTGTGACACCAAGAAGGAAAATAGAAACAAAAAACTAAAGGAGACAGGGGGAATAGGAACTCATGTTGCAGGGGCAGGAGAGCTGGACAAAGTGGAGCTGAAATCCTGGAGACGACCGGCCTGCAGGTGCAGCAAGTGGGTTACTTTTGTTCAGGTTTTCTGGGTGTCTCTTGCAAACAGCAAGGCTTATAAGCAGCTGTAAATAAGGCCTGGTTCTGGGTGCTCATGTCTATAGAAAATCATATATCATGAGATAAGGGATAGAATTATGAAATTATCAGGCTGGAAGGAAAGGTGAACTTTATGTGGCCAGGTGATAAGGCCAGGTCTGGGCCCCTGTGCTTATCACAACTGTGCAGACTTGGTATTTTTTGTCAAACCAGTTCCCAGAGCTGAAATATGCCAAGCATTCCGATTGCTGTCAGATTGTAAATCCTAGAGAATTTGCCATCTCTTTTGAGTGTGGAACTGCAGCTGGAAGGAACAACTTACTTTTCTAGGTTGCCTTTCTTAGGTAATTATCAGTATTTCTGTCTGAAGATTTACTTTGAAATCTGCATGTTTCCTTTCCTCGCAAATCTCATATGCTTTAGGAAGGAAAATGAGACCCTTTCACCTGTGCTGATTCAATAAGAAAACATTTAATTTATTCATTCTGATCAGAAAAAGTGTGTAGATTGGTATGAGCTTAAGCTCTCCTGTCTGCTGAGCATGAGAGGAAGAAAACAAGCTCAAATTCTGTCAATCTCAGTTACTTGTAAATCACAGAACCAGGTAAAACATAAATCTATCACTTCACTTGACAGCACATGGTTTTTCTTGGCTTATGCATGTGGGACCCCAGTGCTTTCTGTCAGAAGATAATAGGGAACAGCATGGCAGCATTTAATGTTGTACCTCTTGAAGGATAAATTGCTCAGTAGCCTAAGGAACATACAAAGAAAATGTGAAGTTCTTACAGGCCTTGTTACATCATTAGAGGAAGGGAGCCTGCTAATTACCATGCAAGTAAATAGCTGCCCTTAAGCTGTAAGGAGCTAGTAAATTGAATGTTATATTATTTTGAAATATCATTCATCATTACTGCATATGCCTGTGGTGCAACTTTCATGTGGGAAAGTGAGAGAAAAACAAGTGAGGAAAAACTGGGAAAAGAAGCCCAGCCTTTATTCGTAGAGGTATGCTTAATTTCTCAGGAGTAACATTAAGGAATATCATCACTACTGTTACATGTATATATATCTTTATAAGTTAAAGCATAAACTTCACAAATGTAGCTGATCAGAAGATTTCCAATCTTGGTAACGTTAAATGAAATACAGACATTTACTGACATACTTTTTTGTTCCAAATATGGTGACCATATGGGCATTGTTTAAAAAAAAAAAAAAAAGTATAAATAAATCCAGTGCATTTGTTAGATCCAGTTGTGAATCTACTCTGCTTTCCCTGTGGAAACATCCATTAACAGAAGACTTTCTCATGCGAGGTCTGTTTTTAAATAAATGGATTGTTATTCCCACCGTATGGGTGGGATGCATATTGCTGGAGATGGATTGCGCATCTGACTTTATATGATAAATGGTAGAAATTCTGAAGAGCACTCCATCAAAAGTAAAGAGTTGAATATTAGTGTGTATTTATGAATCAGTATCTTATTCCAGCTACTAGAGAAATACTTCTAAAACCATGCTGGTTGTTATGCTGTTAGATGGACAGTATTTTCTGTTACATTGATGTCTCTCTTGTCAACAGCTTCACAATGTTAACCTTGCATTGGACTTGCTAACGGATGGAGGTCTTCTCAATTTTTCTGTGAACTCTGAAGGTGAGTCATGGCACGCAGAATTATCTGGAATAGCTCTGCTAACACCCTGGCTAGCAAAACAGGGTGATTGAAGAAAGTAGCTTCTGCAGTGTGACACCCGTGCATTTCATTATATGACTGACCCATTGTTCCTTGTTCAGAATGAATAATAATAAAGCTGAAAATTGTTTTGATTTTTTTTTTTTATTTCTGTGCTAAAGATGTTACAATATTACAGATATACCAATTACACTGAATTTAAACTGTTTAATAAGTCAGCGTTTGTCACAGATTTAGAAGAGTGGCAGTTCTTATTGAAAGTACAGCAGCTGAGCTGGAGGGAAAGCCATTTTCCTGTCTCATAAGAAGCTTAGGTGATACAAAACCAAACTTGTTTTATATGAGAAGACACCTTTCAGACAATGTACTGAGAATCAGAAAGACTGACTCCTTTATCCAAACCCTGAGTGGCTGGTGGGTCAATCTCCTGAACACGACATTCATAGGTCTTGGTTGTCGCTCTGCCTAGTTCAGACCTCTGAGCTGAATCTTGATCTCCATCATTCAAGTGAATGCTTATATTGCTGAGTCAGTGTTTCATGCCTGATTTTACTGGGATGTATATTTCTGTTTCTCTCTGACCTTGCCAAAAAAAATCCCCTTGATTGAGTCCAACTTTTCAACTAAAAAATTGCCCGACAGAACATTTTTGACCAGCTGCTCATCCATGTGCAATGGGGATGTGGGATGCAGCTGCATTAATGAGTTCTCAAATAGCACAAGAGAGGGCTGTGTCTGCTTAAACTGACTTCTTGCAGAGGACAAGGCATGCATCCTCAGCCTGTCATTGCTCCAACAAGCTCAAAATCTTGTTGCTGAGTAAGAAAAGCAAGTGTTTGTTAAAAATAAAAAGAATTACCTCTTCCATTGTTAGTTATTCATCAAGTCTATGTCTGTATTTAGTATGGAACCTAGGGCATCAAAGAGAGGGGAATGACAGAATATAGGACTTCCTATGTTTTCATTTTTGTTTTCTTTTTCCTCTAACACTTTGGTGATTCTGGAAATTTGCGTGATGAGCATGTATGAACTGTGGGCCTTTTGCCATATGGCATGGAGCTAGGTGTTGAGAAAGCTATTTGTATTAAATATGAAACAAGTAACTGGCATGAGCTCAGATCTCCATGCTGGGATCAACTTTTTATATGAAAGGAGTTAAATCCTTGCTTTTTTCTTTCCTCTGACTATTCTCTACTGCCTCAAATACAAATTTGATCATTAAAAAAACATTGGCGCCAACGTCCACAGATCCTTCAGCTTCATAGGGAAAATCCTCAGTTAGTAATCGATTTTAATATGATTTAGGGGTACTACAGATATACTACTTACTGTTCAAGGATCTTGCCTAGTGCTGTTTCATTGTTTCTTCTGATTTACAACAATATCAGAAGAATAGCAAACCCTCTCTATTAGTTACAATCTTCCATTGCAATAATTAAACACAACAGAAGGTTGCATAACATGAATGTAGAAGCTGAAAACTAAAATCAAAAAAAGAAAACAACCACCAGCAGCAAAACATGATAGAAACGTGACAAAAAAATAATATCAGGCAATTCCCAGTATGATTCATACCGTAGAAGAATCAAAAACAATGAAAGGTGTATGAAAAATGAAAGGTGTAAAGTCCTATTAAATTATCTTCTTTGTTCTATCAGAGAACAAGAGACAAGAATTATTTCTTGCTATACATTATCTATCCTGTCTTCCAGCAAGATAGTGCAGCAAAGGTTCTTTTTCCTTATGTTCATTTAATGAATAAATATTTTTCTGAATTTGTTGTTCCTGTTTTGCTTCTTGTTGCAGTTAAACTATGTAAATTTGCATTATAATTGGGGAAAGTTGGAAGATTGGCTTTGGCAGTGGCAGAATCCTCCAGTTCTCCAATTAGGATTGCTAACATTTCCATCTGGTTTTGTTCCTTCTTGTGTATCCACAGATATTGTGAAAGGAGATCTGAAGACTACAATGCGGGTTCTGTACTGCTTGTATTCCAAATACAAGGCTAAAGAAACGTGAAGAGCAAGGCCAAGAGCTTACATTGCCTCTTTTTCTTCTTTTTCCCTTTCTTTCCTTTTCTTCTTTTTTTGTGCTAGCATGTCGTGGTCTGGCTTTTGAACTCCTAGCTCTGTTTGCCACTGTATATGCATGCACTTGTGTGTGACACTTGCTGTATTAACACTGCATTTGCAAGTATTTGCAAGTATTTGTGCAAAGTTTTACATACATGGCCTGAATAACTGGAAGTATGTGCATGTCCAGGGCCAGTGAATTGTGTAATTCTGTGACTGGAGCAAGAGTTTGTTCTTACTGAGATCTCCTGATGCTGCAAAGAAGTGTAACGCATGCTTGTTTGAGACTCTGGATTCTTTGCTTCCAAAGATGAATGTGGAACTGTTATTGCAACCTCCCCGCTTTTTTGCTTCTTGTTCAGTCTGAAGAGGGAGAAGGCCCACCATGGCATCTCTGGGAAGGTTACAGATACTACAGAAGTTCAGTTTACACAAGTGGTCACCCGTTGTCAGATGGAGCATGTGCACCAGACACCGAAAGAATAAGTAGCCAAAATGAAGTTGGCATTTACCATAGCATTTGATGAAAGTCTCATCACTTGCCTTCTCCAATCTGGAAAAGGAACCAAGGATCACATGCAGCCATGAGACGGCAGTAACCAGAGGGATCTCCTGCATAGCTATGGAAGAATGCCATGGTTTCCTTGACAAGCTAATGCCAAACGGGACAACTCCAGCCTGTTGCAGCCCTAATGTAATGTGTCACTGGTGGGAGTGCTAATTGCCACACCAGGCACTTTACAGAAGAGACTGACATGACTGCATTTCCCTCCAGACAGAGGTGGCAGGTGCTGGCCAATTCTACAGCTGGTAGAAGTAGAGACCATCATGGATGTGTGGAATAAAACTCTCAGTTTCTGCCACTTCCAACAGCTTGCTGGGGGCTTTCAAACTCCTCTGGGATCCTCTTAGCAGTGTTTGCCTGACAACAGTCCCCACGCATCCCAGCAGGATCCTCTGCATGCAGCCTGCTAACCACAAATCATGTGAACCGTAACCCTTCTCTTCCTCTGGTGTTTTAAATCAGAACTCTTTCAAAATCTCCGTCTGCTCCCTTAACCTTAAAGTTATGTCATGTTTGTATTGCGTAAAGCTCGAGATGTAATTAAAAGAAAGTTTTGATATTATTTTGGCTTCTCTCTAAACTGATTTAATTTCGTGCATTTGGTGACTCTGACACTTGATCTCCGATCCAATCCTCCATCTGTGTAGTAATGGGAAACTGAAGCATGCTGAGTGTGAGTGGTGACATTTAAAGATGAGATTTTGTTGTGTCTAGTTCCTGATCACCCAGACAAAGAAAGATCCTTAGATAGCAATAATAAGAAGTCTTTAAGTCCTTCGTTTGAAAGTAGTAATAATGCACAGCAGCTAAAGGAAAGCATTCTGCAAACTGCCATGAACGTAATCCCTTTTGTGCTAATAATAATCTCATTATGTCTTTACAGAGAAAAATCCAATGTGTGTTGCCAATGAACTACAAGATCAAGTTGCTTCCCTTACAAAAGTTGTATTTGCTATTTCTAAAGATTTAAGTGAGAAATACTTGTTCTCTCATGTGCATTTCTCTTATGTTTCTTGCTTTATTCCTTAATGGGATTCAAACAATTGGCTGAGAAACCTTAAAGTTTGTTCTTGCTTTGCAGACCCCTTCTGCTGAGGCTGTAACTTTGGAAGCGAATTGTGTAGTAGGTTGTTACTGGGCAAATAAAACAGGGATGTTGTTGATGGAGGGCAGGAGCAAGAGGCAGGAGTGCCTCTGGGCAGGGCATGATGCAGTACAACCTCCTCCACCAAGGAGCTTAACCTGAATCTTGTCCCCACTGCTGGTGACCACAAGTTGTTTCCAGTGTATGGCTTTTATACAGCCTCTGGGCTGTGGCATGGGATGAATTGGTGCTGCCCAGCTAGGTGGTTATCAGGGCTTGAGGAAATGCAGATTTTTCTTGGCATGCTTGGAGTTTTATGGTCTGCTCCTCTGGTATAAGTAAGTCTGGTGCTTGTGTTTCTGCAGATTCCTATCAGGGGAAGTTTGGTTCTTGGTATTTAATAGAAGAAGGGGACGTATGCTCTTCCCAACATCAGTTTGTCTAAACCCTGTTATAAACAAGTCAGTCCTTTGAAAATATTCCAGGGAAAAAATGACAGCTAATGTGCCTGAATCAAAAATACTGCAAGATTGAATATGAACATCTTTTTTTTTTTTTTTTTTAATGCAGCGAGCCAATTTATAACACACTTGATATCTCTACATGCTTTGATAAAGAGCCCAAATTTGATTCCTAAAACACACTGCAGAATATTACTAATCCATCATGCAGGCACCCATTTCATAGTCCAGCTCAGAATACTCACATATGCACTATTTACATTTGAGGTATAGTCACAGACTTTGCATAGTCTAAATTGTAAAAACAGATAGATGGAGATTATTCCAACAGCATGAAGCTGGAGAAAATGGGAATATGTAATATTGTTCTCAGATGTTATTTTTGCCTCACATCAAAATATCTTGTTTCTCTTTTCTGTTAGAAGTAAAAGTTAATGAAAAATAAAGCTGCTCACTGTTTAATCTGGCAAATAAACTATGATAATTTGAATGAACTAAGTTGTCTGTACAAACCATTTCATTGCCATAATCAAGTTTACCATGTTTGTGCTTAAATCCTAGGCAGTAAGCCACACTGAAATCCTAGACAGGTGACACACTGGAACAGGTTGCCCAAGGAGGTTGTGATGCCTCATCCCTGGAGGCATTCAAGGCCAGGCTGGATGTGGCTCTGGGCAGCCTGGTCTGATGGATGGTGACCCTGCACATAGCAGGGGGGCTGAAACTAGATGGTCATTGTGGTCCTTTTCAACCCAGGCCATTCTGTGATTCTGTGAAGCCATTTTTGATGGAAAAGCACAGTAGACTATTAAGGTATTGCATTTCTTATTTATAGTGCCTGTAGCTAGGTGTATGGTGATTGCTAATTCACTGCCTGAGCCAGTGATTGAGCACCTGGCGAAGGGACACAGCCAGCCCTGGGAGCACAGGTGAAATTCCTGGTTCCCACCCCTCCCTAAGCCTCATCTAAGGGCTGGCTGCCAAAGGGAAGGATCTCTATCTGGATATCCCTTCTATTGGAGTGTTTGGTGAGTCCTGATCCTTAGGATGGGTAAGTGACTCTTTTCTTTAACTGGCTTGTGACTATCGCTCTTTTTTGGGTGATTTAGAACTGATTATTTGCTATTGCTTTTCCCTGTGCTAGATAAGCAAGTTTACCTGCAGTAACTTCAGCTTTCTGATGGGGTTGTTTACCGGCTGTGTTAAACTGTTTCTGGGGAAACACATACAGTCTGTTTCTTTTCTAAAAAGCCAATGTTTTGTCTGAGTATTTCTGAGCTGGAGGAAGGTCCTGCAGGAGCTTCTGGTGCTGTCCTTGCCTTAAAGGTATGTGACTCCCAGCTGTGTAACAAGGCTGAGAACTGGAAGAGGTCTGAAGTGCTTTGACTCCTGCTTGATTTCATTCTTCTGTTGTCCTGTCTTCCTGATGTGCTCTGCTTAGAGTATAGGTCACCTATAAAGCAGACGTGAAGTGGTGAAGGTCTGTGGAAAGAAGAGTGGGTGCAAGGGCAGGGTTACCATGATGACATGAGGGAAGTAGTGGACTCGCAACAGTTTGAGGCATGGGATTAGACTGTAGGCCTGAGAGCAAGCTGGAGCTCTGCCCCTGGGGTCTGGACCTCTCCTCCTGCAGGGCTCTGTGGCTGTTTCTTCATGTCCTTGGGTGGGTAGAGCTCTCTGATGGGCACCTTGCTGGTGGGCCTCATTGGGAAGTGAGCAGTTTCACTTCAGAGAGAAAACACTGACAGACCCTAAATGCTGCTGGTGGGAAGGAGCAGTACCTATATGCTCTTAAGGGGTGCCTATTCTTCATGTCTGTCTGCTCCTGCTGCTTTTTTCCCTCCTCTTATTTTCTTACTGTGATTTCTATTGTGTTGCATCTTCCAGGGGGACATTGCCACAGTCAATTTCAAAAGGCTCTTCAGCAATTAAGCTTTCAAACCGTGAAAGCAGCTAATTCAAATTCTTTTTCTCTGTGAGCTCAAAGAGTGTGTGCGTGTGTGCAAAGAGATCTTGCTGCTCTTTCAAGCTCCTAAAATCACCCCAAAGAATAGAAGCCATTGTCAGTTTTCACATGCTTGTTTTTTTTTTTTTCTTAGTCAATTAATGTTGAGAGAAAGGGGTGAAAGTGTTACTTTGCAGGCTACAGCAAACAAAATAGTATACAGCAGACTATCTACTTGCTGTGGAGATGGATGGGCTTTCTGTGCTACTCTAAATCTGCTGGGATTGTGACAAGGTTAGCAGGGCACAAAGCGTAAGATATGGAGAGGCATGTTTTGAGACTAATGAAAGCCAGGCTAGGAGAGCAATACTGTAGGCTAGAACAGCCTCTCCCCTCATCTTTTCTGTCAGTCAGTTGTACTTTCTGGATTTTTAAAATAAAAACCCTACATTTCTATTTCTTTAGCATTTCTAATCAAATAAAACAGTGCATCAGGGCACCTCTTGCCCATCTTCCCCATAGTGCTACCAGATTTCTAAGCTTTTTCCCTCTGTGCCGTGGTAAGACAAGATGCCTAAGCCATTCTGGTCCAGCTTCAATTAAAGTTTTCAAACTTTTTCCACTGATGTCCTTTCTTAGGCTGTACTGATTTCACGTATCTCATCAGGAAGTCAATTAAGTAATATAAAATAGATGCATGTTACAGGAGAAGAGAGGAGCTTGGTCAAAGCTGATGAATTTCATCTGTAGAAGAAGGGCTCTTTGTTTAGGGTGGGAAATGGCTCAACTTGGGTCTTAAAATCTTCCTGTCATGTAATTCCTGGGAAATTGCAGTTGAGTTGCTTCATGCTCTTCACTTATATCACAGGTTCCCACCAAGTTCTGCCTTTTCTGGAGAGCTGCAGCCTGCACTGAACTCTCCTCCTCGTTGAGGGGCTCCACAGCAGTTGAATGGCCTAATTTTTCATGGGAAATGGAGCCCAACTGTAGGGTTGTGCCATTGATGGGGAAAATGTAAACTTGAAACATAAGAACTAAAATGTCCGGTGCGCTGCAAATGTTTCTTATTCCATTGTTCTTTTTTTTTTTTTTTTTTTTTTTTTTGCCTGTTGACTCCCTCTTCTTTTCTTCTTCTGTGTTTAAGGAGGAAACAGAGGAAGCACTTTATTTTTGTGTAAGACATCAACCATCGTATTCAGTCATCCCATTCCTGCCAGGAAACAGTCTCTGGATTCTAAATTGTAGCACATACTTCCAGTTTGTCCCTGGGCTTGGATGTCCTTCTGGACCACCTGTTGCATAGCCAGGACAGAGAACGTGAGGAATATTTTCGACTCTGTACGCACAGTGCTAGTCAGGCTTTTAGGGACAAAAGCCAAGAGAAATGAAATGTATAAAGTCAAAACCACAATTTTCAAGTTGTCTTTTAGCATGGATGTTTCTACTAGAAATAGTATTATAAGCCTATTGTATGATCTTCAATTCCAAAGAAATGTATTTCTAGTGCAATTTCACCTCTGCATGTAATGGAAACGATTTTTGAACTCATTAATTTATGATACTGCCAAAGTAATATAAGGGCATCTTAGTGAAACAAGGTCTATGTATTTTTGTCAGGTTATTCTGCAAACAGATCAACTAAAATCATGCGAAACAAACAACAAAACCTCAAATTACAGTCTCCTTCTAGCATCTGACTTTTCTGTGTGTTCCTCTTTCTTGTTTCAGTACATTAGCACTCTGACTCTTTATTCCCCAGTTTTCTTCTCTTGTATCCTCTGGTGTTAATTGCCTGGGTGGTCGCACAGCTGCCTTTTGGCAATGCCTGCTCCTTTCCTTCTCCCTTCTCAGCACTGCTGAGATGTCCCTGGGAAGGTATTTTCTGGAGAAGTCACATTTGCAATACAAAAAAAAAAAAAAAAAGCCGTGAAAAGTTTCTGGAAACACCACCTGGCTGCTGTGTATAAGAATTTAAAATGTTTCTCAGTGAAATGCAAAAAATTCTTTTATCTTTCCTCTAACATTAAAAAAAAAAAACAAAAAACAAACAAACAAAAAAAAACAACCACAAAGGTGTAAGTCATAGCATTTTGACCCACCCAGTACATCAGGGATGTAGAAGTACATCCAGACCTTGATAACAAACTAACTTTCCATCCATGTTTTACTTTCTAATGCAAGGCAGCTAGCATATGTGTGTGTACTTGTAGGTTTCTTTGATGTGTTCTCTTTTTTGGCAGGAAGATGTTGAATAGGAAGGTTTTGAAAAATTCTGGGTGTTTGAGAACTCCAGCAGATTAGACTCCTTTGATGCAGCTGTGGTACAATAGGATTTCTTATGATTGCCTGTGAGATTTCTGGATGCTGGTCTCCCACTTGGCACTGCTGGGACTACATGCTGTATTATTATGTGTCATAGTGTAACTTTTGGAAATGTCAGGTTTGCAGTGTGCAAGTAGGATTAGATAGATACGTGTAGAGTATACCTCAGAGCTGAGGCACTTCCAGCTTACTGTATGCACTCTGCAGATTTTTTTTCCATGTTTCTGTGCAAGAAGTCTTGTAATGACAAGGGCATTCATCAATAGCAATCGATGATAGAAGGCTGCACATCTCCATGGCACAGCTTTGAGGTTATTACTGGGACAATTACAGTGCAGATGATGGGATTACAGCTCTCACAAAGATTCCTCCAAATTAGTGTTGTAGGTGAGAGAAATCCAAGCATGTAATTTCCTACACAACTACCTGTGAAGCTTTTGTATCCTTACAGAGTTCGAAGAGCCACAAGTTTGTTGTCAGTGCTTTCATAATCCTTAAAGTTACTCAGGAGATCACTAGTGGGATATACTTTGAAACATGTTTTGGTTCTCCTGTGGTTACAGATCCTGTAAGGAAGGGCAAGGAAGTCTACATGGAAAAGGATTTTCTAGGACATGAAGCTAAAAGGGCAAGAATTGTTGATAAAATTTCTTGCAGGGGATCCCCGCTGTGGAAGTGTTGACTCTGGCTCTTTGCAACGTCTAGAAACCGTGTAAAACATGTACCATGCACTTTATGTATAGCAGATGGTACAACAGGCTCTGCTGGTTGCAGTGTGTCAAATAACAGATTGTCTGGAAAAGTTTGCTTGCTTTTGGCAGACAATTTAATTCAGCTCATGGTATGTTACTGAAGTTCATAGCGCCTCTATGCAAAAGTAGGCAGTTGACACATTTTGTCATCTGCTATACCAAAAGTTCCTTAAATAATAAAAATGTTAGAAGTTGTGTCCCTGCTTGTGCTCATGAGTGGAGGTGGGGAAAGGAGACTTGAGAGTGTGAGTAGAAAAAGTAGTCTGAAATCCATACATTTGATTCATGTTCCAAAGCTGCAATCTCCTTTCAGTTGGTACAAAATTGTATTTTGATGATCTTTTTATATACATTTTGAAATAGTTCTTCCCTTCATAGTGAAGTGGGAGTGGCATAAAAAGATCACAGACTTTGGTGAAAAAGATACTATTTCTACAACTCCTAATGTCAGTGCAGGATGGTATATTAGATTTGGCACCAAGTATGTTCACAGATACACCTGACACAGATTCAATAACCCATAAGAGCTAAGCATGCATGGATGTTAAACTAATAATAAAGAAATGTATGTGTACAGCTTGATGACAGTGAGCATGGGTGATCGTACTGCTAAGGACAGACTGGCTTATTCAGGTCCTTCTCTGTGGGTCATTGCATGTTCTCTCTTCTCTAAAAAGTTATTGAAAACACCATAATGTAATCCAGATGGAAGTACATGGTTGAGCTGACTGTCACCCAGACTGGTGTGCTGTGCCCAGCAAGCACATCAAAGCATTTCTATCTCTTGGTATCTTCTTTTAGCTCTGTCAGATGGGTGACAATCTGAAGTTTCTATCAAGTCACCTGCTTGTCCTCCTGGTGCTGAGGTCAGCTTGCAGTGTGGTGTTTGCAGATTCAATCTGAGGAGATTAAGCTTGCAATGAGGTGTTTGCGGACTGTGGTTGTATGTGATACCAAATGGTGATAACATCTTTAAAGTGGACTTCCTTAAAAGTACCATCATATGTGAATTAGTATACCTTTCACATTTCA